CTTACTAAGAAATTAGACCATGAAAATCTATTTTTGCATAAAAATTCGCAATCTGCTTATGACTCAACCCAATAGTATCTTCTTCAATTCCAAACCGGGGTCCCTCTCAATTCCGAAGAAGGAAGTCGGATGTCGTTTACAAGTGCATCTCGACTCGGAAGACCGGCGTCGTGGAATGAGCCCAGTTTTTTTGAAAGGACGAAGGGGTATAGGACAATGTATCGGTTTCCTTGCTTCAGACCCGCTAGTCCCGGCTGAAAGCAGTCATTTAATACGTCCCGAGGAGGGATTAGGTGTCGAGTTTCTTTGGACTTAACCGTATTATACTGACTCGACACGGGACTATACTTTAGTGATGGAATCAAGTTCAGTATGTGTGTATGAGTATTAATCAGTTCAACATCTGAAAATCATTTTAGTAAATTTAAATTCTCTAATGTGTTGTTTCTGGAGTTTTTGAAACTTAGTTTCAAATTTTGCCTTATACTACTCGATCACTTCTTTTTATAGCATAAAGTTGATGAAAATGTATGAATTTAATATTGCATAAGGTTTTTGGGTCCACCAATTACATTTCAGATCCATAACATTCTTTGTGATCTATTATACATGATCACAAATAACTTCTTAAATTATAGTGTGTACTTATTTTTAAAAATAAGTATAGAAATATTTCCTTCAATATGTTTACTGCTATGAACATATTCATAAACGAAGCCATCCTTTCAGTATCTCGTTGATAGTCAATGATGACCGGCGCTATTAAATTTTTTAAAATGCTCGCGACAAACGAATGGCATCGGTTTAAACACAATTGGTGTCTCGATGTTACTTTTCCTGTATGATTACTCTTCCATTCGGGAGACGGCCAGCGTACAGTAGGACTAACCCCTCGGTAGCCCCGAACAACCAGTTGACTTTGACCTTACTACACATAAACCCATTATATGAATGAACAGAACCAGATGGCCCCAGAATGAATGCGTAACTGTCTTCTTTTGTCTTTCCGTCGTTCTATACATTTAGCTTAGCTACATAATTACCAATATCAACGCAAATTTATAAATAAATTTGTAATTAGATTATGAATATTATGCAATTATAGATTATTTAAAAATGTGAAATACAACAAAATACAGATTTAAGGTATATGCAATAAAATAAAGCATTAATTTCGTTCTTAACTTAGGAAATTTTTTAATAAAGCGATAGAAACTTTGTTTATTTCCCGTTCGCAGAAACTAATATACACAAAATTTTGAATTTACACAAACGTTCACAATCTGGTAATAAATTAGTGCAATTAAAATTGAAACTATTTCCTCAACATATTGAGTTTTAGTTTTTGTAGAATAAGTCATACCATAGTTTTCTAGGAATTTATATATGGTAGAAAAATATTCTTTTGGTAATAAATATTTAATGTTTACATATTACTATAATATTTGTGAATGGTCATTTCACATTCAGCTGTTTGCTATGCTGTTTCAACAGTATCTACGGTATGCTTGATCCCATCGCTACTTAAACCATCTGTTCCCGCCACAAATGCTGTCCCCAATGATTCGCAGTGGCAGATGATGCGACACTCTACGATCGTCACTCAATGAGTACTGTTATTCCCAGGCGTGTTTCTAAGGGACCGAAAGACGTTAAATCGATTTACATTAACGTTCTGCTCACTTTTCTACACGGTACAGATACCACATTTCACTTTTATGCCTCGTAAAGCTTGGAGATGTGGATGTGTGATATTAGCGTGCATGTGTATGCGTGTGGGATTAGGGCGACCTCAATGAGGAGTTTGCGAATAGGAATTATGCCTTACGATCTTATACCAAGTTCTATGCGCATATGATGTTCACATTTTTATACGTAAGTTCATTTCAGTATTTTTAATGGATTATAATTAATCTCAGATAACGATTACAACCATGAATTGTATTGGATTGCAATTAATTCTAGATAACTATTAACATCGTGAATGGAAAGCTGACATAATAGTATCGAATATACTCTATATCATTTACTCTATTTAGTGTTAATCTATTTAACTTTGATTTTTTATTTGTGATATTATATATATTAATTTCTGTAATTTTATATTCTACTAATCTATACTTGGCAAATGTGAATATTTTTTGGTCCATTAGTACTTGCTTCCTATATTATTAACTCTTTCATTTTTTTCAGTATTTATGCCACAATTATATTTTACGTGTAATACGCATATAAAAAATTAATTTCCTCACCGTATTAAACGGTTTTCATTAACTATTTATATCCGAGTTGGACAGCATTAGAATGAACTACTTCAATGAACTAATTCGCAAAAGGGAAAATGATGTGATTGCGACCCAGGATAAAAATATAAAATAAATAATTATCCTTAAAAGATTAACACCATCTGAACGTAAAAGAAAGTCGGTTTCACGACAAAAATAATGAAATAACCTAGATAATTTGTCTTTCAAAATTCTCAATTCAATTAATTTTCTGGCCAATCCCGTTTTGTCAAGGGGTGGTAGAGGAATTGGTCTCAGAAGCGTCTATAAAAATCCGTAGAAGAGAGAATGGAAGGGACGCGGCGCAGTGTAGAAATAGCAATCATTGTCTACTTTTGTCGCACGAAATATGAATGCCGCGGTGGCTGGTGTTTCAGCCGTTGGCTCCCAAGCGTAGAGAGGCCGCTCCGCCAGAGGGACACCGACGCAATGAACAATGTCCGCAACGTTGCACCGGAAATAAGAACCGGCGCGTACGAGTTGACCATTGTCATTTAGTAACCCCCCCGTTCCATTTGATTCTATTCACGCCTCGGGAGGACCGGACGTGAGGTCAGCCGCGGCTCGTTTAAGTTCGAAACTGCTACGGCAAAAAAAAGACCCGCAAACGGCAAAACTTTTTCCGTGACGTCGCGTAACGATGTTTCGCGCTCGAGCTCCATTCAATTTGGCCCGCCTTCGTGTCCTAGAAGCGTCCCAAAGGTAATCGAAGTAGTTCGGTGTTAGTAATACAAATTGTAATGCGAATCGAACAACGATAATTGGAGGAATTTTTGTTCGGGATATTCTATTCATCAGGAAGAAGTGAAAATAATAAGTAATAATTGGAGATTCTAGTATTTTGATCGTATAGTTTGTATGAATAATTCGATAGTGAGTATGTTTAGGATTTATGTTATTACTTTCTTTTTTGTACAAGAAGGGTTAAAATTTACATTAGAGAAATGCAACTTTTAGGCTGAAACTGATGGTCTTAAAGGTAGTAACCGTGTTTTTTAAATTTGTTTCTGGAAAGATTTACAAGAGTTTAATATGGGATAAATACATTTTTCAGCAGTGTTAATCCTTTTGGAAGTACTGAGAAATATATTTTGTAGGAAAAAAAGTAACAGTATTGCCATTGACTGCAATTTATGTTTTACTGCTTTATATACCGGGGAAGAAATATAATACAACATATACCTACACAGAAGGTTCTTTTGATTGACGTTAAAGTCAGAATGGACAATTATAATTTATATTAATATAAACTTTGATTAGTATTCATGTTCACGGACACCATTCTGAGCATCTACTATAAGACACTTGATGAAGATTAAAATGTTCAACATAAACAATTTTACATTGCAGTAAAAGTACGTAACATGTTGATAAACATCAGATAAACACCGTGAGTCTTCGCGAATCATTCGGTGACATTAGGATCAAACTTTTCTTAATATTTCGTTAATTATTAGCTTTAAGACAAACAATGTTTAATACTTTTTTTACTTCGAAACTAATACTCTTTCGAACTGCCGTAAAAAAGATAGGGCATTCCATTTAAGATGAAAACAAAGTCGAGCTTCAAATCTCCTAAACGTCTCCACTTAAAATAGGAGTTATGTACACCAGAAGATTGATACCATCAAACATCTGTTGAAATAATTTTCTATAAAACGAATAATTTAAAAGTTATTCGAGGTGATCGAGTTAGGTGCCTCACCCTGCATATGGAATAAAGCGTAATTAACTACGTCACGGCCAGAGCGCAACGACTTTCATGGGAGAAACGCGTTAATGATGGTCCGCGGTCTTCGTCGACTATTATAATTAAACGGGTGTGCCCCTCCCTCGTCCCGCGGTAGAATCGCGTGTGCAAATTATTTGCATGTGGCTCGCGACAGGAACGGACCACAATCGGCCGATCGGAAGCGCACGGAAAATTGTGACCGTTAACGGGAAAATTGCTCGTTATGCCGGCATTATATCCGGGGGGGATGACGTGTGCGTGGGTTGCACGGGGGCGGCGTTGTGTACGCGCGGTCTGTTTAAAGGGAGACATAAATCTGAATCAGGGTGGACGAATTGCACACGTCGAAATAATTTATCGCCGGTTCGACGGTGCCAGCCTTCGTTTCCATTGGAGTTTTCGCTGGCTGATCTCGAGCCATGGGAACACGAGGGATTACTCGGGGGCAATAATTTCCGCCTTGGCTTTGTCCCGTGAGAAATGAATCTCGGATGATCGCCCTAACCTTCAATCTCAAACTTTCATTGATCCTATCGAAATTAATCTTGAATCTTGTTAATATGGCAAACTGACAGTATCAGATATTCTGTATTTATAGTGAAAATGGAAAGTAAACGACTGCTACAAAGTCCTTATTAGCATGATTTGCAAGGGAAAATTTTTGCGACTACTGTCACAGTGTAGCTGAACATTTTCACTGGATACACACAATTTACACTGGAGTCTGCCGCAGAGAAAGGGTTAAACTTATAAATTAAGCTTTTCCATTCATCGTGTATCCTATTTATTGTGAAAGGGTAGTTTACCCTTTACTCTCAGCGCCATCGAGTACCGTAAAATGCTTCGATTTAATCTAACCTGGTATCGATCTAATACATTCAAAACTAACTGAATTCTCTTCTGTTCCCAGGGGGTCCCGCCAGCACTCATGCTCTAGTAAAAGCTCGAACGTACTGAGAGCGGAGTGGACAAGAGGCAGCACGATGTGGCGCGTACTAGTCATCACGGTCGTCCTGGTCGCCACGTCGGTGGGCGACAAGGTAGCGGTCCTGCCCCACGACGTATATCCGGGCTACGAAGTCACCCAATTCGACACGAAACGCCCGTCGAATTTCCATCTGATGGAGAACGGTTACTCGAAGTTCTTCACCGTACTTGGGAACGGTCTGGTGATGACCACATCCGATTTATCCCCGTTGGTCGACCGTCCTGTGAATCTAATCGTTCTCGAGGATCTGGCGAACGGGACCGAGACACATTTCCTTCATCTCTACGTGATTAATCGCAGGAACATGATCACCTTCTCCCACGATCATCTCGGTGTGGGTGAGGTTTCCGAAAACTCTGCGGCAGGCACGTTGATCGACGGTTTTCCGGTTCTGCGGGCACGAGGAAGCTTCCCAGTCCATTATGCGATCCTCCCGGACGAAACCGGGGATAGAGCGTTTATTCTCAGGGAGGAGGATTCGAATAAAACTGGCTTCAATCTGACACTGAACAGCCAAAAGGAAGGCGTCCGAGTGGTGACCGCGAAGCCCCTTGATCGGGAAACTAAGAAGCTCTACGCGGTCACGATACACGCTTCCGATGGGAACTTCCTTAGCACCTCGCGAATCAACGGGGTGGTCCACGTTCTCGATGTGAACGACAACAGTCCTGTATTCGAGAAGGAACTGTACATGTTCGAGATCAGACCAACTAATTTGGACGCGATTCACAAGAATTCTGTAGCCCTACCGGGCTGGAAACGTTTCGCCACGGTCGGCAAGGTTGTAGCAAAAGATGCTGATGGGGACAAGGTCGCGTACAAATTGCTCACGTCCAGCAGCCTGCTGGTAGTCGTCCCACAAACCGGTGAACTTATGCTAGCTGGAGAGCCGGAAATTACGATCGACGAGGACAGCGAGTGCGTGGTAATCGTGGAGGCTCACGATGTCAGGACACCGAGCCGATCGACCGAGAAACCAGCCAAGGTTGTCGTTCGATTCGTCACGTCCGAACCGATGGAGATGCAGGTACATCGGATCGAGAAACGAAGGGTGACCAGAGCCGTCAGGCCGACGAAGAAGGTGGACTTCACAGAGGCGGACGGCGATGTTCAGGGGAAAATCGCGTTTTATCTGGAGAAAGAGAACGAGAAGGAGACGTATAAGATTCGGGACGATAACAAGTGGGTCACCGTAGGACCTAATGGATCTGTCATTGTCAAGCAGAAGTGGGATTACGAGGAATTAGGGTCGGAAAAGACTATTGACTTTTGGGTGACCATCACGAATACAGGTATGAATAGTTTAATCGTCGATGACGTTTTAATATTTTTCACCACTAATGAATGGAATATTAATTCGTTATATTTAGGCATTGGGTTGTCCTATGACTAAACTGCGGATTTCATGCATTTATAGCATATGCGATGGTACCAAATTTAATATATTAATTGTTTAAGTCTTGAATTATGTTATTGTCATTTTTTTACCGCAATTTTCGTTTCAGTTACATTAAAACTGTTCAAATATATTTTTTTTTTTTTTTATTCAAACAGCTAAATATGGTGTCTTCGAGTGCTGGTAACATTTCATAGCCTCTTAGAGTGACTTCAAAGAAGTTGTAAATACTTATAACTTATAAGTTATAAGTTCTAGCTAGGTTCTAAGTAATTGGTTAATGGCAACATTTTATTGTAATGTAAGTGGTCCCACAAAAGTTTAATGAACTTCAGTACGGTTTTGATTCTTTAGGGCCTGATATTAATACAGTAAAAAATTGTCTATTTGTTTCTACTTTTAGAGATCGATACTTGCCTGAACATCTGCAGTCTTACTAAGTATGACAGATTCGAGTTTGGTGCATACATAGATAACTAATTCTTCAGTAATATAATATGTATATCGTTACAAAAATTCTTGTTTAAAACAGACTATTATTGCGTATTGTTATGGATCAATCTGTTAAGTTCAAATTAACACACATCATGATACTTAATTATTCAAGAAGGGTGATTAAAAACTGTATCGCCAATCATAAATTAACGAATACTGAGATGATCAATAATGCACAAAAAATTATCATCTCGAAAGACTTAAAACTGTTAAATTCGTTATAATAATAATTACTTGTGGGACAACCTGATGTCTTTGGAGTTTAGTTTCACTTGAATGATACTTTCTTTGAAAAAAGTATCCATTAGAAAATGATTAAAAAACCGTTGTCTCTCATTACATTAATTTGTGTAACGTTTTATAACTTCCAATGATTAATTTTTATTTTTGTGTTCACTCCGTGGCCGAAGAACGGTGTTTACAGTACCCACCGTATACCCAGTGTCGATTTCACGGTACACTTTTAATTTATACCTTTATTCTTCACGCCATTTGCATACAGTCGTTCATGCGTCACTAGTTTACCTACGCTATGGCTGGGTTTTGTTCTCTCCTCTCTGGACTTTTTCTTAAAGGGGACAAGAATTAGAGAAATAATATTTCTTTATTTTGTTCTGAGAGCAAACCATAATTGATTGTATTGTAGTGATTGTCTCGTTGGATTAAGTACATGTTGAAACGTTCTAAGAAATACTCTGTAGAACAATCATAGAATTGAAAATCTGAGCTTGCCGTGAATAATGGAATATAGAAGTACATATTATAGAAGTTTCTGATACATAGTAAGATAAATTGATAAAATAAAGAGAAACTTTAGCAACGAAATATTCAATAGTACTGAATGGTAAATGATGTGTCATTGCAGTCATGAAACCCTTATGTCACTAAACCTTCAAAAAGAGATACGAATTTATCTATTATAGTTTACAACGCGTATAGTTAGTACATTATTTAAACATTTCTTACTACGTAAAAATCCTTATGCCAATACCAAAAAAATAGCAACCACGAATATTTTAATGAAAAATCGAAGATATTTCGGTGATAGAAAACAATTATAAGGCAAAAGGCTGTACAATTTTTTTTCTGTAGAGTTTGTAAAGTTAAGTACTAGCAAAATATTAATTTCGATATCCCAGTGAGGGTTTACAAAATTCTGGTGTGAAATTTTATAGGTGAAACAGCTAGATATTCCATTCCACTGGTACCGTGTGTGTAGGTAAATATATAAATTTACCTACACATGACAGAATAACATGAATAACAACTTTGACAATATTACACTACATCTAAGAAGTTTGATGGCAGCGTTTATTCATGTATGTTGACAAAATTACACGCGAACGAGGAGCGTGCCGAAAAGGGGGGAAGCCTAATTCCCCTCGCGTGGCAGAAATCCGCGGAGCCGGGTGTACTATGTATACATATAGTAAGGGAAGCAGGGCAAGAAATACGCGGCGCTGACTTCCGGCGCGGGCTTTCTGCGCGGCGCTCGCACGTGGATACAATTTCCTTTTGAAACCGGGGACTGTTCGAGCGTTCGTTTCGTATCGTCCGTCCCGACGTTAATTACTGTTTCGCCGAGTAGAATGAACGGAACGCGTGTTACGCACAAAGGGGCCCCGGAGGGAATTGAATTACATATTCCGGTCGGTTTAAACGTTACACATGAAATTATGATATCGTGGTGACTTGTGATACAATTTCGACCATTTTACATATACAGGGTGTCTCAGCTAACTTGAGCACCTCGAATAATGACTTAACTGTACCTTATGAAAATTTTGAGACGTGGAACTTAAATGGTATCAAAGGGCACATTTTATAAGGTACGTGCTTTTTTGCGGGTGGAGACACTTCAGAGATGTCAAGGTCACTTTAATTTTTTTTTACCGGAGTGACCTCTATTTTGTACCATAGATCGATAGAGTATCAAATTCTGAGTAAAAATGTGTTGATCCTCATATTTCCCTCAATCTAATAGTTAACGAGATATTTACAAAATAATTTTGAATACCTACTTACTATCTGGAAGCCATAGGTTTAATTTAATTGTAAAAACGGAGCTAAGAACCATTTATTATATTTATCTTTTACTTCAAGCTTTTGTTATTTTTATTATTATTTGTTCAAATGCAATAGAAAGACAGAAATAAAATGAAAATTGTCGATTTTCGGATAATCAGTGCGTCTGGTCTTTCTTGCCGTGTATTCCACTGTTACTCATGCTTCTATATCACTCTTACTAATAACGAATCTTTTCTTTCCCGCACCCTCGGCTTCCAAAGGATTCCAATGTAAGTAGAAACACGTTTCATATTCATTATCCACATATTCATCCGTCTGTACAGTCTGTATATAATATTATATGTACCAACAAGTAATTCGCTATTTCATTCGATAATGATAAAGTAAACTGAACATACTAACAAATACCAGTTGATTTATAAATGATTTCCATTTGTTTTCTTAATCTTTTTATTACAGGCAACTTGTCTCCAAGATAAATAATCCGAGAATGACTAATTTCGCGACACTTTTAATAACCACCTAAATGTTATTTTTCGTGATCGTTTCGGAAATAGTGTACCACTTACTGTTAATTGAAAGTCAAAGAAAAATTTTTATGTGGTCTGTAGTTAAGGATTTACAATTAATATCAATCCATTACACTATCATCTAGTAACCTAATAACTACGATTGATTTGCAGTATTCTTATAATCATTGTTACTCGAGCATAATTCTGTAATTCTTGTTGACTTCATGCTTGCCAAAAATTTTTAGAAGGATTTGAACCAATTTTGAGTCAAGGATTTTGAAGAAGTACGAGTGACATTGTCAACACTAGAATTACCAGTGTTGAATGTATACTAAATTAAATTATATAATATCTTAATATACGTAAAATACAATACGATCTAACATAATACAGTACAATAAAACATGTACGGTAAATTGAAAAGTCAACATAAATTCGGTCAAAACCACTATTACAATATCAGGAAATGTTAAATAAGAAATGTATAATCCGTCATTCTCACGAGTTTGGTAATTCTAGTGTTATATTGGCATAGATTTCAGATGTCCTTCGAAGTACAATTATTTATTTATTAAAAGCAAATATGTTTGTAGAAATAGTGAATTATTCGCTGGTACAACTGATACGTAAAAAATGAAATACTTGATGACAGCTTTTGGTAGCTGGGTAGTTCGCGTAGAACGAAGCAATTAGTTTTCCTTGCATTAGACGCTTATTCGATGTAGAGCTTGCGACGTAGAGTGCTGTTGCCGAGTCGACGATGCTTATAGGCGGTGACGGAAGAAGATGTAAGTTAATAATCCAAAGACCGTTTTTCTACAAGAAATCGTGTTACCGAATAACGTTCTGGTAAATCGACTCGGAAAGGACCTTTAATGTTGTCACGAAGAAATTGCCGGAAAATACCATTACTGTAATAATTAGTGAAACAAGTCGAAATAATACTAGTATTTGACAGAATTATGAATTATCTGGAATTTGAAAGTTGAAGTTACGTCACCCTTAACAATATTAAACGATTATAGTGTCGTGTGATTGATTTTTGAAAAATATTCACTAAGTATCAAACTCTAAAATTACCTTAATACACTAATAATTAAGTTGTAAATATTTATAGGAATTTTCATTCAAATGTCTATAGGTAATCAGAGTCAAGAAAAAAATTGTTTCACCAATTAACAGATCGACTGCCAGATATCACTACTAATGAAAATTCAACTGAATTAAAGCAAATATTAATATTACAAAAAAGATTTACGATAGTAACTATTCTTTTCATTTTTCTGAATTTTATAAATCTTCACCAAATCTGTTTCAGTCCATATTCTGTCATAAATATTAATTCTCAGCTCTGAACCAAACATCTATGACATTTAAAAAAACGAGATGAAGAGTTTCTTAATGCCGATTAGACTCTATTATTCATACAAATGCATAAAATTAACAATTTATTGATTTCGTATAAGCACGAATAACAGGCGTGATAATCATCGTAATCGTTTTCGTTTCAACTTCTGTCTGTAATTTTACATTCCATAAAATATACTATTCGTGACCGTAACGAAGGTAGTTCCGATCTGTAACACTGTATTATTGTAATACAATGTAATGGTATTTGAGCTGCAATACTGATACCTATGGGTGGGGCAGTGTATTATAGCGCGGATCGGGATATTTCATATACAGATGCGTCGAATTTAACAGGTCAAAGGTCAAAGCGTAGGCGGCGATAATGTCAAATGGTATTCGGTCACCGCCTATACATATGAGCACTGTCCACCATTTTCTGTCAACGTGCGTGTGCACGTTGCGAACTGCATATCAATAATCGGGCGACAATTACAGACACGGACAATCAGCGTGTCATTATCAACATGAAGGACGTTAACGATGAGCCGCCGTACTTCGTAAATCGGCCCTTGCCAATGCAAACGGTGGTACAGCTGAACGCGCCGCCGAATACACACGTGTTCACCCTACAAGCACGGGATCCTGACACCGACAGCAATATTCACTACTTTATGGTTCGAGATCGGAGTACGTAGAAACTTCATATCGTAATTACTTTTTCCCTTGGGAGTCCTGTAAAAACTTGTGTAATAATCAATCGAAATACCACGCGATTTAACCCTTTTATTCCCAACTTATTTAACAATTACAAAAAATATATTTTTGTATTTTTATATATATATATATATATATATAAATGATTCACAAGAACATTTCAACATTTTGAAAACGTTTAATATTAAATTCGTAGCGAGTTAGCAACGGTTTTACTTTTATCGTAGGTACGTATAATAATTTACATTGTGAGGTTTTTATAATGTTATACAAAAATTCATGTTTGATGAATTGCTTTTTCAAAATTGGAACTTATTACATTTTCTTTGCGCAATTAAAACAGTGTAATTATATGTACATTGTTATTGAAAAGATTAGAAATTATTGTGAAATTGTATTTCAATAATTATATAGACGAAGTTCTACAAGTTAGAAAGAGTAGAATTGTATTAATATGTACCAGATTATTAATGCAGAGATTCTATACACATAGATCTATATATTATCTATACATAGAGTATTTACCTAAATTGTATATATCAAATATATAAATTAACGAATTTAACAGGAACATTTACAATTTGCAAACACCTTTGAGAATTTCATCTTTCGAAATGACGTTTATCGTTAAATAAATACTGAGTTTTTCAACCTAAAGAAGTCTAAATTAAACGTTTATTAGGGAAATAAACTTCACAGAAATATAATTTGAAGACTGGATCTATGTATCTCTATCTGTAACTTGTGTTTGAGTTTAGGAGTTATGGCCCCGAAAATTTCAAATCAAATCCGATTGCAACTTAGGAACCAAAACAAATTAGAAAAGTGTATCGGAATACTTTGCCAATAAATCTTGTACAAGTTACAAATGGAATATGAAAGGGAAATTTACAATTCTTATTAATTTGTCTGATGAAAATTCTGTATTTCCTCCTACAGAAAACTGTTAACTGTTTACAAATTCGTTTATTAAAAGGACAGATAACATGAAAATTCACAAAAAGTTCCTGTGTATAGAAGAACGAAGAAATACTGTAACCAATTTTAAAGTGATGGGAAACATCACAGCGTGGGCGTTCTGAATCCACTAACCTAACAGAAGGAAAGAGTTATAACAGAGTTTCGTTCGAATCGAATATCATTGTTCTTCCTATCTGTTACTAGTCCTGGATACAATTTGAACTTCTATCCATGAAATATCAACGGGACTCCCCGCATGAAACATTGAATCCCCGTCGTTTGATGCCACTCGCCATGAAATTATCCGGTTGAAAAATAAATGGGGCACGTTTTGCTTTCAGCTGGAGGCCGTTTCGAGGTAGACGAGCGATCCGGCGTTGTACGGACCCGGGGGACCGATTTGTTTCAGTTGGACATGGAATACGTTCTGTACGTGAAAGCGGAGGATCAGAACGGGCGTATAGACGAGAAGCGGTTTCAGTCGACTGCTGAGGAGCGGTTATCGATCGTAGGTGGAAAACGGGCGCCGCAATTCTATATGAAGGCGTACGAAGCCGAGATACCGGAAAACCAGAAGAAAGACTCCGAGTGAGTTGAATGTCCTTCGAGTTTTCGTCCTGACGAACACTTTTCCACGTTGCTCGTGCCACGATCCAACTCGTAGGATTAAATAATTACAATAGGATTCCGATTATTTGAACTAATAGGGAGACTAATCCATTTTGATGAACAGTTTTTTGAGTAATCTGTCCAAAAGATCCAGAATTTTATATATCACTGAAAATAGGTGAAACATTATCATGTTTCGTCACTCGTTCGGTATTCCGATAATCTGTATTTGGGACTTTCTGATAATTGAGGATATACTGTACAACAAATAAATATAAATGTCGAATGTTTTTTTTTAATCAATATTCTTGTAATGCTTTTAACTTGCAAGTGTAAATTTAATCAAGGAGCATTTTTACATGAGTATCATTTGCTTTTTGACACATTTGATGCTGTGGTATAAAGCTGACGTCCACTGTCGTTAAAAATTATTATAATTCCTAGTCAGATTAAAGTAACGAAAGCTAAGTTAAATTAGTCCAATAAGTAGAATAATTCAATTGTACCCAGTAAAATATAATATATGTTGTTATTTATTTCAGCATCATATCATTGAAAGCAAAATCATTCGCTGATCGCGAAATACGGTACACACTAAAGGCCCAGGGTAAAGGCGCGGCAGGAACATTCAATATTGGCCCGACATCCGGCATCGTGAAGCTTGCTAAAGAATTAGACTTCGAGGATTTACGTCAACCCCACATTTATTCTCTAATAGTGACAGCCACCGAAGACTCTGGAGGTTTCTCCACGTCTGTCGAGGTACCTTGTCTTCGTTTTTCTCATAATTTCTAATAATTACACTTGTACTTCCGTTTATAAGTATTAGGAAATTTATCGGATATACAGTAAATGCTAGAAGGCATTACAAAAATTTCTGAAAGTCTGAAACAAATATTCCTCAGACGCTGTTAAATCTCGATGGACAATATTTATGCTATTATGCAGCAACAAAAAGTGACCTTTTTAAAGATATCATTTTTACGAAACATTACATTTCTTTCATACAAACCAGATGTCCTAATACTTATGAACGGTAGTGTACGAAATTTGTAGACTGGAATGGTTTACAATATTTATAATATTTATATTATACTTGAATAAACTTCTTCCAAGATTTATAATTATTTGTGAATGATTGCAATATTGGTGAATTAGTTTAAACTAATGAAAATATGAAGTTGATGCAAAAGGTACCCCGTATCTATGAAACAAGATCGAAAACAAACTTACAGAATATCAATGAAATTTTGATTGTTTCAAACAATTATCAGTGAATTCTGTACACCTATTTGTTAGAATGTTTCAAAAATAAATATGAATAATAATCCACAATGGTTAGGAAGTTAGATGACACTTTTAGGCCTATACATAGTGTTAACGTAAAGCTTCGCACAAATCAAATCTTTCGCACCAACCTTATATTATCACTTCGAATCGTATAAAATTAATCGAATTAAAATTCTCGTGTGGTTACCAGCTGACCATCCGTGTCTCGGACGTGAACGACAACGCGCCGAAATTCGAGTTGCCTGACTATCAGGCGCACAACGTCGACGAGGATATATCGCTGGGAACGAGTATACTAAAAGTGAAAGCAACTGACGCGGATTCCGGCACGAACGCGGAAATAGAGTATCTGGTGTCGGACGACCACTTCAGTGTCGACTCGAACGGGCTGATTGTTAACAATAAACAGCTGGACGCGGACAACAACAATGCTTATTATGAATTTGTTGTCACAGCCAAAGACAAAGGTACGTTTGTACACTTGGAACGATTGGACAGTGTCTGTGATCAGGGTTACATTAACTTTTTCCTTCATTAAAGAATACACTTACCGAGTTAATATACAGGATGCAACAAAAATGAACTGAAATAGGACACTCGTGAGGCGATTTGGAACAAATTTTTCCTTATTAAAAATGTTATCCGAGGCTTGGTTCACGAAATATTAACGAAAAACCCCGACCAATCACAGCGCGAGTCTGCTGGCCGAGTTCCCGCGACGCATTTTTGCTAAGGAAAAACTTGTTCGAAATCGCCTTACGAGTGTCCCACTTCAGGGACCTGCAACATTTTTGTTACATTCTGTATATTAAGTTAAGAACTGAATAACTGGTTAAGTAATTAAGTAACTAATTACTATTTAATTAACTAATTAGTTTTATCTGTTGGTAAATAATTAAGCAAATGATTAAAGTTCGGTATTTAAGTTAAAAACCAGAATGGTTAATCAAGGACTGTGTAATGTATATTCTTTCTCCCCTCATATCCCCATAGCAATTGCTACTGTTGCCAGAGCAAACGTACTCATAACAGTTATTCATTACTTTAATTCAGTTACGATTTTTCTCAGTTGATTGAAGGTACAAACCGCTAAATATGTCCTTTGATACTTCTTCAAGGCTGTACTTCTTTGGTTCCACTTTCTTACCCTTTTATGTTCAGTGGCAATATAGTTAGAGTCTACTGTATATGTTCACTTTCTTGATATCATCAGGTGTGTCCCTACTAATTACGGTCAACTGTTTCAGGCGAGCCACCGAAAACAGGCACGGCAACGGTGCGGATTTACACGAAGAACAAGAACGACGAGGAGCCGAAGTTCTCCCAGCAGGTGTACACGCCGAACGTGGACGAAAACGCCGGGCCGAACACTCTCGTGACGACTGTGGTCGCGTCAGACAAGGACGGCGACAACGTCCGATTTCGATTCGTCGGCGGCAACACCACGTCCGGTCAGTTCGTGATCGAGGAGATCACCGGTGTGATCCGTCTTCACGGGAAGAACATCTCGTTGGCCAGGGACAAATACGAGCTGAACGTTACCGCCCTCGATGACGGCGCCTGCTGCCCGAACGGCGAGACGACCACGCACACCAGCACCGCTGTCGTTGTGGTCTTCATCACGGACGTTAACGATAACAAGCCGGTTTTCAAAGATTGTAGCTCGTACAACCCGAAAGTCGAGGAGGGCGCGCCAAATGGCAGTACTGTTATCAAGGTCCAGGCGACCGACGAGGACAAGGGCGTGAATGGCCAGGTGAAATATTCGATCGTCCAGCAACCGAATCAAAAGGGGACGAAGTTCACCGTGGACGAGGAGACTGGTCAAGTTCAGACGAATAAGGTACGATCTCAGGAGCAAGTTCTGTGTCTTGTGGATAACGAAGGCGAACCTGTATTATCCTCCTGTTGTCTGTATTCTATAGAAATGGTTTGTTCCTTGTTTAGACGCAAATTTTCCCATTCCTAATATTGCCTTTGTACTTAACAAATTTATAGCGATTCTGGGATCTTTTATGTCAGGCAAATACGTGTATCTGGTAGATGACGTTTCCACAGATATATCAGGCCGTGTATCAGATAATATTTTCTTTGAAAAAGCCTACTAATCGTCACGGTGAATATTTCAATGGAATAAAAATTATTTTCTCAAAAATAAGCATTTTCGTTTCGGTCTGTAATATATAATATATAAACGGCAATAACACATGGTGCAACCTAATACAATGCTTCAACCTAGCTGCGATTCTTAGCTCAGCTGTGAATTTGAAATAATCACGTGGATGGAATAACACGCAAATTAGTACCAATTTCCTTGTACTTTTCGGAACTGTAAGAATGTTTTTGAAGAGATGAGGTTCAAATCAGGTTGAGAGAGACTGTAGAGTCGTAGCATTGATATATTTTGTAAACTACAGATTTTATATAATCAAGATATTACTTTGAAACGAGAGACAAATACGTGAAATTAATACTTTTCGATTTTTTCAGGTATTTGATCGGGAAGGGGACGATGGAAAATTTGTGTCTGTCACTGTCAAAGCAACCGATCAGGGCGAACCTTCCTTGGAAGGTGTATGCTCCTTCACTGTTGAAATCACTGATGTCAATGACAACCCGCCATTGTTCGACCGTCAGGTGAGTGAATATGTTAACGAATGTTTCTGAATATCATAGAATGGTTAATTGTGACAAATTCTAAAGCGAGGTACCAGAATGTGTTTCAGTTGGAAGCATTGAGAGTGGTACTTTATTTTTCATTTATGCAAACGACGCAGCGAGTTTATAAATGGCGTCCTTTATGAAAGAACGAATTTCGTAACAAATGTAAATATTTGTAGAATACGTTATGAAAAAATGTTTTTCATTTCGTTATTATAAGAGGACAGTAATAACTTCATTAAATAAATTCATACTGTCACAATTTCCCACTGCCTACAATGGTCATTTAACGAAAAGGAAAATAACAATTCAAATGAGTAATTTCGTCATTTTTTTGATACGTATGCATTTGTATGGTTATTAGATTATACAAAGATCTACGGTAACTGTAAATCCATGATTAAATTTAATGAAACTTTAGTCAAATGAGACCACACTGAATTGATTTTGAATGAAAAATGTAACTAGGAGAATGACTAGAGGATGAAATCAAATTCGCCAAGGAGGTAAAAAACAAATTGATTCTTCCAAGTTAGGTATGACGATCATAATCAATACATTAGTAACGTACACAGTTTGATAAGTAAACCAGAAAACTTCTGCGGGCGCAGAATTAGAGCTCGTATAGAAAACTTAACTATTAGTATCAATACTGATATATTCCAGAAAATATAAATTTACAAATAATCACGGTTAAGTTTGTAATTACGTTTCTAAGTTTTGTCTAATTTCTAAAAAAAACACTATCAAAATTGAGCCACTGTTGCATTACTACACTGCAGATTTTTATGAAAATACACACCTTTGTGGACTAATTCACAAAGATGGGAGTCAAATAGAAATTTGTTCGCGTTATTAAGTTCAGCGGAAAATAAAATCCTCGATAAACTTTACTAAAAAATTTAAGAGTACTCGGTTTCAGACAATTGTGTACACGATAAATGCATAAAATCCGCATTCTATTTATTACATTTGCAAATAAACACAGATAACCGGCATAACAAATAAAATCCGTATACTTGACGAGCATGTTTATCTCTCCTCTCTCGTTTGCATTCGTTTCACGTTTCATTTGTACAATTTTCCGTTGTTTTCCGCCGAAGCGATACAACCAACAAGCGTCGTTACCATCGGGAAAGGGGCGGTGTGCGTGGATGAACTAGAGGAGAAAATTACCTTTCGCGTTGTCGCATTGCGCCATTTGACCTCCCCTTTGATGCCTGAAGTAGTAACTATCAGGGAATCCAAACAAACGCCGTTCGAAAGAAATGCAAACGATCACGGCATTTTGCATTTTCTGGATGGAATGGCGGTATGGAATAAATAAACGAGCCCTCACACAGGATAAACAAAAGCGAGAGGATCGGTGTTGAATTATTCGTGCGCCGTATGCCAGTCTATCTCGTTCTGATTGCAAAATTAGCATTCGAAATTTTACTTTTCATTATTATTGTTTTTATTATTATACCTCGTAGTTATTTCTTACATAATATTACTATTAGGTTATATTTTATTTGTTCTTTAGGGATTTTTTTGTGTTGTCTGTTCTGTTACACGAGAATGGTTTTTCTACCAAAAAGGTTACAAATGAAATTATTTAACACGTTCCGTGCCACAGTGAAAAAGGCCGTACGTAGCCAGACACTCTTTATTTCGTTCTTCAAGTCATGAATTATTGAAACTGTGTCTTTTGTTAATAGAGGATGTTGTGCCACATGCACCACCGATGGTACTGCATATGTACTGAAAGTAGTTGCTCTTAATCAGCAGGTAGCAGTTGCAATCGAAAATAAATACAAGTAGAAGAAAAGTTCAATGCTTTCTTGGTGAATAAATGTGAAAGGAACAAATTTTGTCGATTCTCGGAAAATTAATGTAATATTGCAAATGATACTCTCAACAAATAATAATACTTTTCCACAAGTATTACTACGAGTGCATTTCATCTTATTAATATCTAGTCCAGTGATGAGCACCCTTTTTTTCCAGCGCGCCAAAATTGCAAATAACCGCAACCTTAAAGAACCCAATTGATTAATGTAAAATTTACTAGTTTACTTTAACGTTCTCATTAATTTTCTTCACTTTTGTCGATTCAAGTAGATCGCTCAAACAACTTTGGCCACAAGTAAATAATTAACGGGAGTTGCTCATCACTGATCTAGTCAATGCTCGAACGGAGGTGATACATAATATTGTTAAAGATTTTTCTATCTCGATACACGTGTAACTAAATTATTCGTTTATTTTCAGCGATACATTGAAAACGTGAAACAGGACGCGAGTATTGGCACGAACATTCTAAGAGTGTCGGCATCGGACGAAGATGCCGACAATAATGGCGCCATAACGTACTCGTTGAGCTCGGTTAACAATGACCAGGGCTTGGAGTACTTTGAGATTCAACCAGAGTCTGGTTGGATCGTGTTAAAGAAGCCCCTAGACGTGAGTACTCCTATTTATGATAATCATCATATACGTAATTCTTTAGCAGTAACGAACATAAATCGTTCTCCGATGGATTGCCGTGCGTCCTCGAGCGAACGACTTCCGGTTCGTCCTCGAGCTTCGATTTATTTCACGTCACTGTTTTTCATTCACGCCATGTTTCTCAGCATTGATGTATTCGGACGAATTTGAAATTACGCGATATTACTGAAATTATTCAAAATATTCGTTCCGAAAAACCTGTCAAATGCCGAGAACCCACGTTGCAATCGATCTCATAATATTACGCCCGTACGCACATACACGTATAATTTCGAGTGACTCCAAATATATGTGTGTGCGCGTATACCATAGAATATATAACATATATATATATATATATATATATATATATATATACAATGTTATTTATATTTAATAATATATGAATACAAAACTTAAGTGTACACCTTCTGCCGATATATTTGTACGTTTACGTTGACTTACGTTCTTTAACACGAATCCGTTTTTGTTGCTGATATCGGATAAATTGTATACTAATATACGTTTTGTGCGTCGGCCAATTATTTCTCTAATTATCACTAAATATGCAACGACAATGAGTTTCCTTTTTACGGCACATGTATAGAACTATTTTAATTCCCATTGATATGCACAATGTGTTCACTATGGTAAATACTTAGCTATGCCTGATTTTCCTTCAAACGCTTCATGTACCTGAATCGATCGACCGTTCGGGCTATTTTTGCAACAAGAACACTCTCTCTCTGTCTTTCTCATTCTTTCTATCGAGCAACATGCTCGCGGCGCGAGTACCTACAAAATTTTTTTTTTTACTTTTGTTCTGTTACAACAACGGTCCAAATCGAGCATTTCGAAACGATAACCTCTATACTCGTCTCCAGTGTTTTTACGTATTTTTTTTTCTCTCTCTCTCTCTCTCTCTCTCTTTTTCGGATCGCCGCGGTCGGTCGTCGACGAGAACGTTTCACGCCGGCTGATTTTTCTCGGTTTTCTCCCCCCTAAATACCCTACCGACTGTTTTTTCGTTTCGTTCCCTTCCATTTCGTTTTTCGTTTGATTCGCGTTATCATTCGACTTCCGTTCTCCGATCGTTTCTCTTTCTTTCTGTTGTTCCTTCGACCAGTTCCGGCAATCGACTCGTGTCTCGCTTCGCTCGAAAACGTTGATCGTTTGTTTACTTTTTTCCTTATTTCGAATAATCCGGGACCGATACGCGTTGCTTGCCGTTCTTCTTATCTCTCTATCTCTTTGTCCACTGGATTGGTTTTTGTATACTCTCATGATTTCCTGCACCGCGAATCATCGTGACGTGACCGAAACGTCGGGGGAATTACACCGAGAATCGACGGAAACGAAAAAAGAAGAAAATTAAATCGGGGGAAATTAACGAAGAAAAAGAAAAAAGAAACAAAAAGAAAAACGGTTCGCGGTTTTCGAGTCGCGGCGCGAAAACGAGCGTGTGTGCGTGTGCACTTTTTTTCTTTTTTCTTCATTTTCCAATGACCTAGCCGAAGGAGAACGATGATGTCTGGCCGCATAATACATACTTTTTCACTTGACCCGTCATTTTTGGACGCACGTTTTGATGTCACTGCGCCCGCGGCGAACACGACAGTGAAAGGAACGAACGAATAACAGAGCGAAAAAAAAAAGAAAGAAAGGAAAGCGAAACGATCGACCTTTTACCACCCGAACTAATCAACCTTTTTTAATTGTTCTCCTTAAACATAAAATACTAATGTGAATGTTTTTCAAAAGGGAAGTGATGTTTTTTGAACTTCCAGGAGCAGGTGGGAACGACATTTTTTGAGCCCCACGTACGGTGTACTTCAACCTCTACGCATTTTGTGGTGCATCAGACATAAACAATTTTTGAAAATGCTTGCATATTTTATATGAATGTGTTTTTGATTCCTTTACAGGAACGGATCTCGCTCTCACTCCTATCCTTCATCTCTGCTATCTCTCTCACTCTCTATTTCTATCTCTCCACCCCCGCTCCCCCTTTCTGTCTCGTATTCTCCTTTTTTGTTTAGAAATTTTTCTTTTTCGTTTTATCTGTTCTTCTCGTCTTCCGTTTACTTTTGTTTGTCAAAATTCTTTCTTTACTTTGCATCGTGATCAACATATACAGGGTGTTAGTAAGAGCGTGGGACATTTTCACAAGGTGGATTCTATGTGTCAAACTGAGAGGAAAATGAAATACATCTGACGCGATAGGTTATACTATCTGAACAGTCGATTCTCAGATACACGGGATCGATCGATAATCTAGTTACATTTATGAATGAAATAAAATCAATTGAAAGATAAGCTTGAGTCCAAACTAGGATCCTTTCAATAAATACAAAATCAAATCAATGAAACAAACTCATGAAATACTTGAAGAACGCATCTCTGATGTAGAATACCCCACTGTGTCAGACGTATTTTAAGCGTATTTCTCCTATAGTTTCCCTAATGAATAACTCGGAAGGAAAGCTTCGAACGTAAATTCGTCTTAGTTTGATACATAGAATCCACCCTGTGAAAGTATCCCAAATTTTTATTAAGACCTTGTACATCTTCTGTCTCTTTCTCTCTCTGTAACCTATTTCTTTGATTTTTGAGACAGTTCACAAAAGACCTTTGAACGAAACTAAAGATCATTTTTACCCCATTTGCATTTTGTTATCGTAAACTGTGAGAAATATTTTTCACCGTTTCTTTGTTTTTTTTTCTCTCTATTTTTCGGTTCCCTTTTGTGCTGGAACGGATTCGAGTAACTTTTTCCTTTTTCTTTTCCATTTTGTATCTTTCCGTTTTTTTTTTCATTCCCATTCTTTCATTCCCCGTTCACCGTTCGCCACCCGACTCTCTTTCCTCTATCTCCTCGCAAACCACGACGTGACTGACAATGAGCCAAAAAAAAAAAAAAATGAAAATAAAACGAGAGACATTTTTTGCCGAGAGCGCAATAAACGATAAAAAAAACCGTAAGAAATCTGTCCGTGGTGTGACATTTTTTCTTCTGTGATTGGGGCGGCATACCATTGTCGTAACGGAACAGAACATAACGAATATAAAATGCGGATCCATAATACAAAACGACGAAGCGACGTTAACAAAAGTATTAAAAAAAAACCAACAAAAATGCTAATCCACGGTAAAAACGTCCATCGGTTTTTGAGTGTCGTTAAAACGAAAGAATCAGACGAGGGGTCGTCATAATTTTTTTATTCCTTCTCTCTGTAAACTCCGGCCACCCTTCCCGTGGTCCAATTGAACCTCTTTTCTCCCCTCTTTGTCCTCAAATATCACGAGCTCTGTGTTTCTCTCTCTCTTTCTCTCTCTCTATGTACATCTCTCTGTCTTTCTAACTCTCTCTTTCTTTCTCTCTCTATATCTCTTTGACTCTTTCTCTCTCTTTCTCTCTCTCTCACGTCACCCGACTCCTACCCACCACCCCCGATGCCTCTTTAAACGCATTCTCGCTTGCATGCAAATTGCCTGCATTGGTTGATTTCGTAAAGGAACTAATTTGAATTTCTTATTGTTTATGTTTGTGTTCATTGCACCATTTACTTTCTTCGGATTTGATGATGACAAAAAAAAAGGGCTGTTTTCCAGTAAGTAGGAACTATGTTCTTGTGTTTCCGACACTATTCGCATCGAGAACACAGTATAACATTGACTAGCACAAATGTTATACCGGCGCAACAGAGAAAAAGAAAAGAAAGCAAAAAAGAACGAAAAAAAAAAAAAGAAAGTACTTGTATACTAGTACGATATTCGTTGCAGAATGTACTAGAGCGCAAGGTTCCGTTCGATTTATTGTGTGTATACCATTTTTCAATTTATTTGTTACATCTTTTTGTTTCTTATCGTTTCGAGTGATTTTCAGTTCTCGCCTCTGTTGTTGTTCTACGATTGTTGTCACTCGGAGACGTCACTCTTGTATTTACTTCTTTTTTTTTCTCTTTTGTGTATCGCTCTCTCTTTCTCTCTCTATTTTCTGTCTCTCTGTCTATAATCTATCTGTACTCTCTTTCTCTGTCTCTATCTTCGATTAAATATTTTACTTTTCACTTTTGATTTCAACTTTTGTCTGTTCTTGATTTACCATGCGCGATCAGTTACGAGGTTTTGGTTTTGTTTCTGTTCCTCCTTCTTTTGTCAGTATTATTATTTTTTTTTTTTCGTTCGTTCTCTCTCGTTTCTCTCTTACTTTAATAACTCGTTCACTCGTGTCACCGCGCCTTTTGGTTCGTTCTCTCGTCCCGGTCTCGGGCGTATCCGCAGGTGAAGGACCTCCGCGATTTTGGATACCGGCGGTAACGATTTCGTAGATCCTTCCCCAGAAGACGTTTCGGTTTCTTTCATGATTTTCTTCTGAAATGAAATTTACAACTTCTATGGTTAACATCACCTCCGTACTAATCGGTATTCCATATAATGGTTTACAGCTAAATTTTTAAAACCGCAGCTAATACAGAAATTTACAGCTAAATTTTTGTAAAAAAAATTTACGTCGAAATTCCTGTAAATATCTGATAAGTTATGCTTTTCGTACATATTTGTAGTGTGTACCGTTTACCTGTGCATTAATTTCAGATATTAAAGTGAGTTCATATTGTGGTGAGAATGAAACGTCATCGGTACAGAAGATCGACGAAATCATTTCAAAACGCTTATGTGTGACGGTGAACGTTAAATGTTTCGATATGTACATTTTCACTTTCCATACGCGTAGACAGAACGAAATAAAGAATGCCGCCCGGTAAGTATCGCTTATATAGGACCTGATCACCGTTGAAAATGATCGAATGATCGGGCATTTGAATCGATCGACGGTTCGCAGCGACGCAAGAAAACCGATCCGACATAATGGACAGAGAATTTTTAAGTCGATCAAAGATTGGCAGACGCGTCGAAGATTAACCGTAAACGAATTCCTTGGAAAAAAAAAAAAAAAAAATACGGAGGTCTGGAAACGTTAAAGCGGATACCCACGAGACTGCATGGTCCTTCACTCTCTTCTATCTCTTTCGTTTCGTTTCGCGATCAAAGAGAAACATACTACCCTCCGGGTCGTTCTCGACAAGTTGTTACCGCGCTCGCCGCCACCGAGTGACTTATCTCTATCGGTAAAACGCCAACAAAAAAAAAAAGTAAAGAAACAGAGCAGAAAAGCAAAAGAAACCAAATAAAAATCGAAAAAAAAAAAAAAATGAACCAAAAAAAAAAAATTCATCCGCCAACAACAGTCCCGAACAAAGTGTCCTGTGAGTTGACGGCCCAATGTTTTGCCACTAGCGTGACAGCTATCGCCTGCGAGTACGGGCCTCCGACAGAGGGATTCAAGTCTTGCACGCAGACGTGGACGTTGAGTTAGACGTCGTAGACAGAAACAATAAACCACCTGTGTGGGATGCGAATGTATACGGCCCCATTCACATCAAAGAAAATGTCACAGTGGGTACTGTAGTGACGTCGGTGAAAGCCAGGTTTGTATGCCACGACATGACCGAGACAAGACACGTGACATGCCGTGCCGTGCCATGCAGTGCTACTCCCAATATCGCCCTTCTGTCACACTTTCCTACACGTCCCACCCTTTTTCTTTTATCTCGTCTCTTTTACACTTCGTTCCTATTCTCCTCGTCCTACCATCATTCTATAGCCCCCAAGTTCATGCTTTTTTCCAAACGGTATTTCTGTCACTGGGTCATTAACAACCCCTTAGTTTTCTGTCATATACGTATACGTTTCGGTCTTGGTTGATATTCTATTACATTCTAACGTTACACTGTTTTCGTTCCATTGCGTACATGATATTGAATCTCAACGGGAGCTGAGGCATGCATGGTTAAGCGCGGCGCGGTAGATCGCTGATTGGTCGGACACTCCTACCTACTACTACCTACTACTACTGTTACTACAAACTACTACTACCATTACTATACTATTACCACTACTGTTCTATCCCTTACTTATGTTAATTGTTACCATTCGTCGGGGCTGATTCACCGGTGAACGCTTGGGTAATCGAGGGGCGTCGAGGTTGGGTCAGCTATCTAGGTGTCCAAAGGACGCATCTGCAAAGTCTGTTAGAAATGGAATTCGATCGAAAGACCCTTGTAGCGATCGACGCGAATGGATTCCCAAGCCGTGGACGAATCGGTCCCGACGACTCTAGCGGAAAAAAAAAACATCTCTAGATGTGTACGAGTTCGGAAAACCAGGTGCCGGATTGTCCTTAGCGCGATGATCCGTATAGGGTAGGCGAGGATGTAGCGAGAGAGGTCCAGGTCTCCCCTTCCAAGACAATTCGTATTTGGGGTTTTTGCTATTTTCTTTCACGAGCAATATGCAGGTGCAGAAAGCGGGCGCGAAGGCGCATCAGCGATCCTTGTCTCGAGGGGGCCACATCCGGTGTCCCCGTTGTTCAGCACACGGTTCGGCTTTCAGCTGCGCCGTCTAGTCCCGCTTTGCTTAGAGCGTTTAATCGCGCTAATAGAGGGCTAACCCGTGCGAGCAGTGGGTCCCGGTGAATGATCCTGGCGGACGAAAGACGAGCTAGGATGATTTAACATACGATGATATTAACCGGCTACACCAGCGTGTAAAGCAAATATGACTGGCAGAAATGATACCCGGACGAACACGCACAGAACGGCGGAGTGACAGAGAGAGAGAGAGAGAGAGAGAGAGACAGAGAGAGCTAGATTTTAAAAACCGAGAGCAGCGCTCCTCTGAGACAAAAAAAAAAAAAAAAACCACTGCCACGAGTCATTACGCCTGACACTAACGCCATTTGTTTTTTGTTCCCGTTTGTTATACACGCGGTCTGGTGTAGCGTGAGATGTACAAGCTGGAAGCGATGGCCCAAGACAAGGGCTTCCCGCCCTTGTCGCGAACGGTGGAGGTACAGATTGACGTTGTGGACCGTGCGAATAATCCGCCCGTATGGGACCACATAGTGTATGGCCCGGTCTACTGTAAAGAGAACGTGGCCGTCGGGGCTAAAGTTGTGTCTGTTAAAGCCAGGTCTGTCACACTGTTAATGCTCCGTGCGGCTCTGCACGAACCCGCCCTGCACGCAAATCTCGTGGCAGTATTGTTCTTGTGCACGTTAATTGATATTGTGTACGATTCCATATATATACACACATACACGCGCGCATCTACACACAGATGATCTAACACACATTCACACGTACCACGCTCGCGTACGTTATCATTGATCATGTCTGTAGTAATGGGCTCAACACGCTTTGAACGTGGGGGGAGTGGGTTGTTGCGAATCGCTTTGCGTATTATTCGAAGATAGACAGTTTTTCAATGGTCCCGCGAAAATGATTCTCGTGCGTGTTGAATGTATTTGGAACATCCAGGTCTGTCAAATAGTAAAAGTTGTAAGAATGCTTAACCCTTTTGTTATTAAGAACGACTATAGTCACCCAACGTCTAGCGTTCGTTATGCACTGAAAGTGACTGTAGTCACCAATCGCTGGTGACGCTCTCGTCAAAATTTTACATTAGTTCTGAATTTACTTAAATTTAATTGATATTTATTTATTTATAGTTTGTGCCAAAGAATATTTTTGCGACTCAACTGTTCCGTACAGTGACAGCATACTGGCGGCCATCTCCGCCGTAGCGAAAGGGTTAAACCAGCGACTCATCGTATTTTTTGATTAATAACAGACAATAGTTTATAAATTATTATTTGTATAGTTGTGTAAAGGTTGTTCTAGTACTTGGGTATAATTGCATGCCACACTTTGGACCTTTCAAATCTATCGATGCTCTGTTAGATATCTCTACGTTAATGTCGATTAACTTCGATAAGTAAATCATAGAGTCATTTTGAAAATAAGTCGTTATTGGCCACTCTATTCGGAGAATACTCGAAGTGATTCACACGATTAAGTAACTAGAAACATTGCTAGAGGGAGAACGCCCATCGCTACGCGTGACGACGCAGCGAACACCCGCACAGATGGACACGCATACACGTCAGGTGGTGAGCACGAGTATTCGTTTGAGGAAAGAAAGAAAGAGGATGATATGGGGGTGATCAGCGAACGAATCGTTTCGCGAGTGCTCGTTTATTTCACGTTCGTTCATACGGGACGCGTTAATTGCGCGACGAACCGACACGTGTTTTACGTTCATTCGAATGCCGACGCGACATGCGCGGAAAAAGATCGCTATAGAAGGTAATGACGATATTTACATCATGCTTGAATGATTCCTGCGACTTGGACCATAAGCCATCTGGCTACGGGTGGCAAGAATTATCATAGAAAGTGAGCAATTAAAGCGACGTCGATGCACGCTTTAAGCTGTATTTTATGGACTCAATTGATGATTTGAATGTGAAATGATACAATAATTACTCTTTCTTCGAATTCAAAGCCATTTTGGATTTCATTCAAAGCGACTCGTCCGCTTCGTTGCGTTTCGTGTTCATTGTTCGACATATACGATGACGTTTTGCTGCGCTCTTCGGGCGACTGGATGTCAGAATGGACTTCGTGAACTTGTATAGAGTTAGTCGGTTCAACGAAGTTGTTTAGTTGCTAGTTTTGTGGATTACGACGCTGGGCGACGAAGTTTAATCTGTATGCATAAGAAGAAGCATTTGCTTGTTTGGCTTATTGGGTCTGCAGTATACTTTGAAGTGTATTCAAGGTTTGTTGGGGTTGCTTGATAAGAGTACTTCGTTTCCAAAGAATTAGAGAATTGGTCACGACTTAATTGATGCAATCACAAGGGAAGTTACAATGATTTTGTAGATAGTTTAACAGTTTTTGTGATATTAACAATAAGAAAAAAGATGGATGTTAAATAATTACATAGGGTGAAAATTTATTATATATTTATTATATATTTATTTATTATTAGAGTAATTTTACAATCTGTAAATGATTGCTATAGTTATTTTGTTGTCTATATGTTTAGTTAATTAATTGTTACTAAAGAAACGAGTTGATCTTTCGTGTTGATCCAGACAGCCAGTATTCTTTAACGTAAATTTATAAACTTTTTATCCTAAACAAGAGATATTCGTATAATGTTCATTACTAGAATTTTTTATTCGATACATCACCCTATGCAATTGACAGAAACAAACGTCTATTCGAAACTTTCTAAATTGTTACTTTCTGAGTAATTGTATCTATCATAATTTTAATTGTACAATCATTTAGTCGTTAAATGAACTCAATTCAAACGCAAAAGGTTGTTTAGAATATAAAATACTTCAACAAGAATGTCAAGGCACCAATTTTCAATCCATTATGCGACAAATTAGTGAAACTAACGCGAATGCTTCTTTTTTGGGTATGCAACCGTAATTCGTACTTACGAACGTCAAAAATGGCGGCCTAGTTTTCGACATAACGTTTTCAAGCGGAACGTCCCAGAAACAGATGGACTTCCGGTTACGAAGGAATCGGTCAATTATGTATGCATTTGAGCCAGATGCCGTGACCACGTGCTGCCGGTGCAATAATGGGGGGCAGTGCATTTCATTGTGTATACAGAGTGCAAGCCCTCACGCATAACGTCACGCGATCGCTCGGACGTCAAACGCGTGCCAATTTCTTCCGTAATGTGGTTTTAGGCAACACATGCAACCACGTGCCCTGCCATGAGGCGAAATTACCTTACGTTTAAAGTAGGTTAAAAATTATATATTCCATACTGTGTTAGCTACCAAATTAACAAATATTTTTCAACATCACTAACCGCGTACAATTCCATCAAACAGAAGAAAGTATACATTATACTAAGCACATTTGCAACAGGAGAAAGCATCTGTTGCTGGGAGACACTTAGTTCTGATAATAGAACGTTCGGTTAGTAGAACGTTCGAATATTAATGGATAGCAGAACGTTCGGTTAGTAGAACGTCCTAATATTAGGGTATTCATATAATAAGTGTTCCAATACGGAAGGCTTTACTGTATTATATCTATTCTCCTTTCCACGGTTAATCGTACTTTCACAAAGAATCGGTTGCCTAAAGCCCACGATTACGACCTGTCCATAAATCACAACCGACCGAAGGGAGCACAACAAAACGTCTCGAATAAGTAATTCGTTCTCATCAGGTTCACCGGCCTGTTGCCGAAAAGACACGAAGCTATTCATAAATTAAACGGGGGAAACTGTTCCCCATTCCTGATTCGCGAGTCAGTTGGGGTCGCGTCGGATAATCGAGTGACGGATTAACGCGATCGTTTGGTTCGCGTGGAACGCAGGGGGACAAAGGAATCGACGCGACAGTCACATTCGTACTGGCGATTATCCTATTAAACGGGGGAGCCAGTTTCAATTCGCGAAACTCATACAGTTAATGTGTGTGTGTGTGTGTGTGTATGCGTGTGTGTGCCGTAAACAATTTTTTGGGCATGTTTTGCAAATAGATGCTTCCCTCAGACACGGTACTCGAACCGATTTACGTTCTTCTGTTTTCAATTTTTTGAACCGGGACACCCCCGTACATTGTTTTCATTTCTTCTTCATCGTTCTGCTCTTCTGTTTTATACGTTTCTTGCACCGGATTGGCTTTTTTCAAAATTCTTTACCCTAACGCATTGTATCCGTCCGGTATACACGGTCATCCACGCTCGGTTCTGTGTTCTGAGAACGATGCGGGAGCGCATCATCGCGCTCTCTGGGCGAGACTGTTGGGGTGACACCACGAGTCAAAGCGGCTTTAGTGATGGATACGTGAAATATTGATCAGGGATGACGGTTTAACTGATTGGAATTCGCTCGACATTTTGAATTTTACAAAATGGTAAAGAAAAGTGATGTATGTAGTGTAAAATATTTTTTTGGTAAATGAAGAACTTTTGATAAACATACACCTAATTTATAGGAGGTTCTATTGTGCATTCGCAACAAAATTGTAGGCGATACAGAAATACAGAAAAAGAAACATAATATATTTTCATTGATCTTTATGATAGAGATAAACAGTAGAATTTTTGTTATATTCGGACATAGAAAAGATATGTCAATTCGAGTAAATTCTTTGTTTCATCTTTTTCTTCGAAACTTTTTTCTACAAATGAATATAAAAGTTTATAATGAATGTACAGATATTTGATTTATGAGAAGTATGATAAATAATTAAATTTGCCAAAGAATATTTGAAAGGCACACGTTTAACATTTATTAACAAACTGAACTAGTTCAGTGTTTTCCAAATAGTGTCACATGCAGTTGATAAATTCAATTAAAAACGAATTTAAGATCTAGAGTCGTATTTATATCTCACGAATATTCTTAATACATACAATAATTATAGTAGTAAAGCAAACTTTAATTTCAGTAGTGCAGAAGTGAATTTATTGTATTCAAATCTAATTTCAACAGGATGTGACAGTATAAAGTGTTCAAAATCGACATTTTTCAGAACGGAAGGAAATTTATGTGTTATGATTATGATTTTGGGTCCTTGTATAAAACAATTAATGATTAATGAAACTTCAATGATATTTTTATAAACTGGAACGAAAATAAAAAGCTTTCGTTGCAAAAAGTCGTTTACACACACTTGTACACTATGGAATTTTCCAAAAAACAATCAACTGATAGGGTTTATAGAGATTTATAGTATCTGTTCATCAAAAATTTATTTACCCAATAAATTTCCATATAATTTTTTTTCGTTGGATAATTCATAAAGGAAATATAAATTTTTGCATAAAGTGCACAAATATCCGATATTCATTCGTAATAAAAAACAGTCTCATTCAAGGTATGCAATAGTCCTCGATATTATTTTATTTGAAAATCAATACATAGTTTCAGAGTTACCAAATACGTTTCCATCACGAGGGCCACATCAAACAACTTTGACCACGCTTTGTCTCGGGTTGTCGAGCATCATCCGCCGTGTCTCCATTTTCCGATCATTTTTGTTTCGAATTTTCATGCGAGAACTTGCATTGAGTAATAGATCATCGATATATCTACTATATCTACATATTATATATACATCATATACATACGTATTGTACATTACGTGAATGCCGTATTAATTTTTGGGCATGTTTCGTCAGTTGCTTATCTGCGGTAGGTTACCGTAACTTGTTAATTGAAAGTGATCATCTTT